ATCATTCAGTGTTCCTTTTTGCCATTATTATTATAGGTTCCTTTATATGTACTAGGAAAAAATATATATATTACAGTGAGAGTGTATAAAGGTGATTTTTAAATGCAAATTCCTATTTTAAGTAATATTATACAGGTTTCTTTATATATTAGGAATAGGTATTTGTTGCAGCGAAAATACTGAACGTGGTTTTTAAATGTATTGTCCATATTTTGAGTGGTATCCTTCATACATTAGAAAAAGGTAATGTATATTAAGTAAATGAAGGTAGATACTTTTTGTAAACAATAAAACGATAAAATTTTGACTGAGACACAAGACAGAGGAATATTTAATCATTCAAAACTGAAAAATTTAAGTACGCAGAACATAGATTCATATGCTTATACAGGGTGGACTAAAAGATTCTTCCTATTTTTTTAAGTAGTATAAGTAAGTAACATAAGAAGATCAAAATATAAGAAGAAAACCAATTTTATTAATTTTAAATTAAATTTAAGTTCAAACACGATTGTCTTTTGTGTACTTTGATCTACTAAAATTTAAAAAAAAATTTTTTTTTAAATTTAATAATACATAATAATATTATATAAATATATATAAACAAATAAATATATAAATAAATATAAATATAAATAAATATATAAATATATAACAAATAAATAATAATATATAAATATATATAATATTTTTTATAAATGATAAAAAATTGAAATGAATAAATATATATATATATATATATATATATATATATATATATATATATACTAAAAAAATTACGGATTTATTTTGACAAAGAGTGATTCTCAGCCGACTTTGTATATTATAAAAATCACCCCTGCGTGGTCGTACAGAGTGTCATCAATTACTAATTCATATGCACAATTAATTATCGGTTATCGGCAGTAATTAATTTGCACGATCGTACGTAGGCAGAAGAACGCGATAAAACGACGATTAAACGCTCAAAGAATTAAGCGCAGCCGAATAAATTAACGAGAGGCGAAATAATTCCTAACCTATTAGGCTCTTAATTCTATCGAAGCGAGCGGCTCCCCAAATTAGCAGCGTCGCGATCGCCCGTTCCGCATATTAATGGGACATCGTTTCTCGATGTGTCCCCGCAAGAAAGATATACAGATTACACTATACCCCGGAGCTGGAGAAATATAGAAAATGCAGCAGGTGTTTATACGTTATGAAAATTACACGACTAAGCGATTATGTGTATGCACCTCCTCTGGCGGGCACGCTCTATTTATTCAGCACGGAGACACGGCCACATAAATTTAGGTTATTCACATACCTACAGTTGAACTACGCCGGCTGTAAAGAAAAAAGAGAGAGAAAGAGAGAGAGAGAGAGAGAGAGAGAGAGAGAAAGAATACTCGAGAATAAAGTACAAGCATTTTTGTAGTGTGCTGTGTGCGCGAGCACGCGTGCATGTGAAAATAGGCTAATATATCGTTGAATAAAACAAGGATATGTATCGTGGGAGAAATAATACCGTGATTTCGTAATTACGCTACGTGCTACGAATAAACGTGTTTTTTTTTTTTCTTTTTCGATCGAAATTGAGAAAACGATAAACAAGAAGCCAGCAATGACTATCGTTTCTTGCACGATGTCGAAGGCTAACAGATTAACAAGCTGTTGAAGCTTGAGAAAATGACTGACCAACAAAATGGATGAAGTGAAACTGTGAAATGCGGCCGATGAATTTCTGTCGTAAATCTGTCTACTTGGCGACTCTTTAAAATTAAAAAAAAATTTTTTTTTAAATTTAATAATACAAAATAATTATATAAATATAAATATATAAATATATATATAAATAAATACATAAATATATAAATATATATAAATAAATAAAAATATAAATATATATAAATAAATACATAAATATATAAATATATATAAATAAATAAATATATAAATATATATATAAATAAATAAATATATAAATATATATAAATAAAAAGTAAAAAATAAATAAATATATAAATATATATAAATAAAAAGTAAAAAATAAAAAATATCTTTCAGAAAAAAAAAAAAGAAGAAAGGAAAATGCATCCGAGAGTTCGTATTCCACGCGACCGAGCTTGTTACGATGAACACGGTGGACATTTGCATGTGGACGTTAATAATGTGAACGATGCGTCCACGCCCACCGGCAATAAATCGGATAAGCAGCTACGCAAACGCGAGTAAGTACACACGATGCATTATTCACACACAGTTTTACTTTTAGCATTTTGGCCGGCTATGCAAATAAACGGCCGGCGATGACGGCCGCGTATTGATATGCATTATCGAATTATTTGTGCGAGTTCTTGCTCCGGAATGCTAATGGATCTTGTTAAAAGCGGTATTAATTTCACTGCTATTCGATCAATTCGCCGCGTTTCGGGTTGCGTGGACAGTGTAAAACATCGTGGCGAACATATTGGCCACTGGCTACTGATTGATTTCTTATTGTTCAACTCGTGATATCGACTGACGGTGAGCCAATGTTTCAACATCGGAACATTTTATACATAAATAATGATTATTCAAATAATCATGACGTTAAATAATCGCTTACACGTGAAATTAAAACGATTATTTCAGTTAAAATAAATGGATTTCGATATAGACAGAAGTCTAGTGACGTGTTCATTTGTTGACAGAAATAGAAATCCGTCGTGTCGATAAGTTTGGTGTCTGTTGATAGTTTAATGATAATGGACGGATAGGTGAACATACATGCATTGGTTCGAACGTAACGATAAATAAAATACCTGTTCAATCTAATAGTGCTTTTTGTTTCGCGGACCATGAGCGCTCGTTCCCAGAAATGCACGGCTTCGGGTAAAATAGTATTCTGAAATAAACCAAAAGATAATGGATTTAATCACCAAAGGTTTTCGTAAAATTTTCATTCGCCTCTACTAAGTTCACAGTGCGTGCAAGTATAGCTCGTCAGTTCGTCGCGATTGTTCAACTCAAAGTGAAAATCCTGGAGTGACTGTTACAGACAATGGGGAGGCAGCGTTATCATACGAATTCTGACGAAATAGTTACTAAATTGGTCGTTCGGATTTTAAATAGAGATATCTCATGGGTGAAAAGGTACTGTGTAGGCTCTAATAACGTCGAATATAAAATTCCGTGAAGAGCGAACTGGCGACTCGCTCCCCCTCTCCACAGCTACTTTAGTCTTGTTTCTCCCTCCTCCAGACTTTGCAACCAAAATTGAAAGTATCTTCATACAGATTTTTTCGTATAAAATCTTGCAAATATTTCTATTTTTTATAAATAATGACAATTATTTATAGAATTAAAAATAATCATTTCCATTTTTATAAATAACAGTAATTATTTATAATTATGTTTATAGATACAAGGTAACACAAAAGTATATACAATAAAAAATAATAGCTGAGATCTCTGGTCGAATTATAAAAACGAATCGCCACAGTACCTTTCGAAAGGTACTTTTTCCATAAATTGACGAAGTCGAAGTCCCGCGCGCGGCGAGAGAATCGAAGAAGAGAGCTCGACGAGGTATGCGACAAGACTCTCCAGAGAGAAGAGGAGATCTTCACTCGGGGAACGGTGCTCGCGAATTCATAATTACTTGCTAAAATACAGAAGGCAATAAGAGGCACACAGAGTGGGAATCGGCGAGCGGGACCAGCAAGTTGAGTATAAATCAGCGTGATCGACGAGGGGGCAACGTTTTCTTTTGTTTCGTCGTAGCGCGGCGGTGGAGAGGGAGACCGGAGAGGAAGAAAACGGCTGATATTACTTCCGACTGCTTTAAACAAACGATCGTCGGAGGACGGTGGCGGCGCTGCTGTTGAGAGCTGAGAAGGAGAGGGGAGGGGGGATTACGCTCGAGCGAACGCGCGCGTCATTAATATCGGCCTAATGGCAAGCGGCTGATAATTAAAACCGGGGCCGAACAAATGGAGCCTCGAACAGCCATGGACGTGCAAACGCTTAATTTCATTTCGTCTTTAATTATTTTTCACCGATTGCATTGTAGTGGGAGGAGGGAGGAGGCACCTCGTTAACAGCTTCACCGATGCAGCCTCCCCCCCCCCCCCACCATTCATCAGGTAAATGACAGAGCCAAGAATTTGCCTCGCGATATAACAAACGGCGAGAGAGACTCGCGACCTAACCGAAACGACTCGTTTAGTGAGCCGTTCATTTTGAAAGTGGCGCAAGTCCATTTATCTTTGAATCAACATATTTCAACGGTGTTGCGTTTCGATGAATTTAATAATGTCGGTAACTGATAGCATGGTGTAGCGTACAGCACAGTGTCTTTGTGTTTCTGAGGGTGTATGATTTACCAACCCAGTTAGTGTGACGGACATTGTTTAGAAAATAACACGTTCTCCTGTGGCTTCAAATTTCAAAATCGATGAAATAACTTTTGTAAGTTTTACAAGAGGCATAAGTCCCTTAAAATAAAAATGTTACGATTTTGTGTTATATAAACTAAGAAATTGAGAAACTTTTATTAAATAAATTATTGTTATATATTATTTATATATTATAATTATAATTATATATATTATATATTATTATTATTAATTTGTTAAATAAATGTTACATTACAAATAATATTTCGTAATTTATAATTGTTCCCCAATTTTCGTGAAGGATTTAAAATAATTATGCTGTATAAGTGTTATATAGTGTAACAAGCTCTCATCTCATATCATAATTTGGAACTCTAAAAATGGGACTTGAGCCACTTTCAAAATCAAAATCTTTATCAATCTATCAACCAGCTAATTTTCCCTGTAAGTCATAGCGATTTCAAATATATTGAATACATATAAAATAATTATGGTGTATAAGTGTAATAAGTCGATTATTATCGTTGTGTTTTAGCATTTTGCAATGTAAATTCAGAGTTTTGAATAGTGCATCCTCAATCATTGACATTTTGTATAGTTCAGTTCTCAAAAATCACATACAATATATTTTTAATCAATTTACCTCTTTCTCCATTAGTATTTCTTAACATTCTACAAACCGCGTCCTCTGGTTTAGTTGAAACGAGAAATGGAACTATTATGATTTAAAAAAAGAAACACTAATCGAACACTGCCACTTTGATAATAAGAAATAGCTCTTATCTCATATCATAGTTACTTCTCCTATCATATCTTGATCAATCTATCAATCAGCTAATTTTCCCTGTACAAAGTCTTAGCAATTTCAAATACAATTGATTACAATTTGTTCAAAAACGAAAGGACAAATCAACTGCGAGATCATCGTGTCCCCCGGAAGAAAGGAAGATGAAAAACAGGGAGGAGGAAGGGTTGTTGTTCGCCATCGTGTTATCAATTATGCAGCGGCATAAATAAATATTTCATGGCGTGTACGGCAACGAACTACCAATATATATTTTTTTTTTTTTGTTTGTTTTTTTCTAAAGCGTTCTAGACGTTTCAACTAGCTAACATGGGGAAATATGGAGAATCAACAGAGGGTTATGAATATGCGCGGAAGGGAGTCAGAGGGAAAATATGCGGCATGTGAAAATATGCACGTGGCAACTGCACGTAGGTAGGTACGTGTCCATTGTCGGTCGGAGCGTCGTGCGGTTATTTGAAAAATTATTCGTTCGTCAACTACAGCACCACCCGCGGTTTTACATTTGAAAAAAAAACAAAAAAAATATATATATCCTCGTTGTACGAGCAATTAGAGCTACGAGCGTTTCTTTTTTTTTCTTTTTTCAATTGTATTTTGTCGTTTCCTTTATCGAGATCGGGGTTCTCAGAACGACGTGTCGTTGACGGACCGTTAAATACTTAAGAAGATAGAAAAATTGTGTCGAAAGTTGGAGGAAATTAATTTTCTACACGGCAGAAAAGAACAGGCCGTTTCCAAGTATCTCGAAACGTCATTTGTGATAGGTATGACTGATGAACACACAGATACGTGTGTCTAAATGTTTAAAGAAAGTATAAAACCGTGTAACATAAAAATATAAAAGCGTAGAAACGTGTGATGTAAAAGTATGGAAAAAAAAAAAAAAAAAAAA